CGTAACACGTGACTGCATGACTGCGCGTGTGCGGATTGCGTTTTGCCGCTTCTGCACATGCACTGACGACATTTTGAGTGTCTGCGCATGCACAAGCAGCAAAACCCGGAAGTAACGCGCTCTGTTACTTCTGGGTCGCCACGGAGCGCAATGTGAAAATATTCATCCTGAAGCTACTTCAACCCGAGGTATGACGGTATATATTTGTGTACGCAATAAATATGTGTATGTCTATAGATTTGCTTCATGTGCACATTTTTCCTGTGTTTCGGTTCGCATATTGTTTCAGAAAGAACAAAATTAAGCAGGATCCTCTTTAAATATGAGCTGGATCTGGTTTCTCCTCCATCCCTAAAGTGCCCCTCCCCCAAAGGTATTACCACCTTACAGCTTTCGCAGTTTTACGGGCATTCCGTTCTGAAAGAAATCCTGCAGCTTCCCACGGAATCTTTTCTATTCCAGCTGCCATTCTCATTATTCAAATGGGCACATTTGCAAGGGCATCACACACACACACACACACACACACACACTGCTTTGGACAATTGCAAGCGGCTGATGGGAGCTGTGCTTTGCCATTCGCGAAATAGAAGCGCCACTGAAATAAGGATCAAGAGTTCTGTGTTTCATCTGTCTAATAGCCGAGCGCCAGCCAAGCAGACAGTCTCCGCTTGCCAAGACAAACACAGGAGACCTGGCTGGAGGGAGGTGCACATGGGTTGTGGGGGAGAGGAGAGGGGGTGCAGTTTGTGGAGACAACCCTCCAGTCTTTAACTTCTTAAAGAGTTGACATAAAACGTGCTTTTATAGCTACGATGTTGCCATGTCTTTAAAAAACACATCTCCAGGCACCGAAGAGACACAGCCACCTTTCACCCTCTCTGTTAGTTTAAGGTGTGTTGGGTTCAATGACTGTGCAAAACTTGCGTCACGAAATACCTGCCACATGCTTTTTTAAGTCCGGGGATGAAAAACGTTCAGAACCGCACACCGAACACTGGCCAATTTACTGGGAAAGCAGGGGGAATGAAAACTAAGAGGAGCCAATGATGCCCACATCGCTTTCCCCTTTGGCTGCTCCCGCCCGACATCCAAACACATCTGCAGTAAAAGTTATTATGGATTTCCTACTTCCATAGCTATGGGGATAAGGTGTCCGTGGAACTTGGGGTTGGTGATTTTCAGTGGGATCCATACTTCTGAGACCGAGACTCGGTGGTAGAGCACTTGCCTTAATGGCAGAAGGTTCTGTTTTCAATCCCTGGCAGCTCCAAGGCTGGAAAAGGCACCCTGTCTGGAACCCTAGAGAACCACTGCCAGTCCGTTTGGACAATTCCAAGCTAGATGGACCGAGAGTCTGACTCAGCATAAAGCAGTTCCCTGGGCTCCTATGTTCTTTCAAGAGCTGGAAGTTTCTCCACATAACAAATTAGAGAATCACGAAGGGGGATTTTTACTGTGTTTAGAAATTGTTTCATCATCACCTTCAGAAAAGTGAGTTGCGTATTTTCGTAACGGTTCTCTTTCTTGCATGCAAGGTTGTCGACCCTGTGGGTGGAAGGTGTGGAAAAGGCAAATTCCATGCTAGGGATCATTAGGAAAGGAATTGCAAGCAAAGCTGCCAGTATCATTGTGCCATTATACAGATCTACAGTGAGACCACATTTGAAATATTGTGTACAGTTATGGTCACCTCACAGTGACACCTTTTCTGTGTCACTATGCCATTTTCTTATGGTCACTATGGTTTTGAGATGGTCACTATGGAAGTGAGAGATGGACCATAAAGAAAGCTGATCGCCGAAGAATTGATGCTTTTGAATTATGGTGCTGGAGGAGACTCTTGAGAGTCCCATGGACTGCAAGAAGATCAAACCGATCCATTCTGAAGGAAATCAGCCCTGAGTGCTCACTGGAAGTTCAGATCCTGAAGCTGAGGCTCCAATATTTTGGCCACCTCATGAGAAGAGAAGACTCCCTGGAAAAGACCCTGATGCTGGGAAACATTGAGGGCACAAGGAGAAGGGGACGACAGAGGAGAAGATGGTTGGGCAGTCTTCTTGACGCTACTAACATGAGTTTGGCCAAACTACAGGAGGCAGTGGAAGACAGGAGTGCCTGGTGTGCTCTGGTTCATGGGGTCACGAAGAGTCGGACACGACTAAATGACTAAACAACAAAAATGGTCACCTTGCATCGAAATGGATATGGAAGAGTTGGCAAAAGTTTAGAAAAGGATAATCAGCATAAGGTTGAAGTGTTAGGTGTCAGGAACATGGCCCCCCAGAGCGCAGCGGAAGAGTCAGCCTCAGAAAATGAGCTAAGTGAGCAAGGAGCCAACTCTGAAGCTGAGACCTGTTTGTCAGAGTTTAGAGAGGACAGCCCGACCCCCCTCCTTCCCAGGGAGAAGCTGTTAGCTCCCAAGGAGAGGAGGAGTTGGAAGTTAGCCGAGTGTTGCCAGGCAACTAGCAGATAAGCCAGTGTCTTAGGCTGTGTCTTCTGGGAGTGGTGAGGAAACGGGCCAGCCGTTCAGTCCCCGTACTAGGAGACTGGAGAAGCTCAGAGAACAATGGAAGGGAAGGAGAAGAAAGGTGGGATTTTGGCGTTCTTTCTGTTGGAGGAGGGACAATGAGTCAGACTGAGCAACTACTGTTAATGAGAGCACATGAAGGCCAGCTCTGGATTTGTTTTTTCTTGTTGTTGTAAATGAACTTGTACAAAACTGACGGAGAGTCATTGCAGCTTATCAGGCTGCTTGCCTGCCAGAGATCGTTATATTAGGGACTTCTTGGTTCAAGAAAAGGCAAGTAAGAGGCAACATTATAGTGCTTTATAAAATTATGCATGGAGAAAGTGGATAGAGAAAGGGTTTTCTTCCTCTCTCATAACACTAGATCTCATGGGCATCAATAAAGCTGAATGTTGGAAGATTCAGAACAGATGAAATAAAGTACTTTTTCATGCAGCTCATAGTCAAATGATGGAGGCAGTGATGGTCACCAACCTGGACGGCTTTTAACTGGCTTGAGAGCAGTACATGTGAAAAGGATCTAGGAGTCTTGGTTGACCACAAACTTGACATGAGCCAACAGTGTGACGCGGCAGCTAAAAAAGCCAATGCAATTCTGGGCTGCATCAATAGGAGTATAGCATCTAGATCAAGGGAAGTAATAGTGCCACTGTATTCTGCTCTGGTCAGACCTCACCTGGAGTACTGTGTCCAGTTCTGGGCACCACAGTTCAAGAAGGACACTGACAAACTGGAAAGTGTCCAGAGGAGGGCAACCAAAATGGTCAAAGGCCTGGAAACGATGCCTTATGAGGAACGGCTAAGGAGCTGGGCATGTTTAGCCTGGAGAAGAGGAGGTTAAGGGGTGATATGATAGCCATGTTCAAATATATAAAAGGATGTCACATAGAGGAGGGAGAAAGGTTGTTTTCTGCTGCTCCAGAGAAGCGGACACGGAGCAATGGATCCAAACTACAAGAAAGAAGATTCCACCTAAACATTAGGAAGAACTTCCTGACAGTAAGAGCTGTTTGACAGTGGAATTTGCTGCCAAGGAGTGTGGTGGAGTCTCCTTCTTTGGAGGTCCTTAAGCAGAGGCTTGACAACCATATATCAGGAGTGCTCTGATGGTGTTTCCTGCTTGGCAGGGGGTTGGACTCGATGGCCCTTGTGGTCTCTTCCAACTCTATGATTCTATGATTCTATGATTCTAACTCTTGGAGGAGAGGTTTATCAATGGCTTGGCAATCCCAGACAGTGAAGGAGAAGAGAACTTGTCCTTCTAGTCCTGGAGAAACAGGAGATTGCGTCTCCTTCTTGGGGCAACATCAGCACCAAACACTGGGTTGGACTGGTCTTGCCTGCAATTCCTAAGTACTGCAGGCTATTTCAGTATGCTGCAAGCAGTGACCTCAGTCACAGAGGATTCAAGAAGCAGATGCCACCTTTTGGCAACAAAAGCAGAAATCCAGAAGGAAAATTACTTGTCAATCTGCCCAGTACTGTGTTGTTTCTAGGTTTCTCTCTTTTTTTGCAAAAAAGGGGGGGTATCGCCAAGGACAGAAGGTGCGATTCAACAACAGTTCCAAAACACATAACTAAAGAACATCTAATGACCGCCCACTTTGCGTTTGTTAAATTAATCACCCGCCACACTCTCCAACCCAACATCTCTTTGCAGTTCAGCTTTACAGTGGTACCTCGGGTTAAGAACTTGATTTGTTCTGGAGGTCCGTTCTTAACCTGAAACTGTTCTTAATCTGAGGTACCACTTTAACTAATGGGGCCTCCCGCTGCCACTGCACTGCCACCACACGATTCCTGTTCTCATCCTGAAGCAAAGTTCTTAACCCGAGGTACTATTTCTGGGTTAGTGGAGTCTGTAACCTGAAGTGTCTGTAACCTGAGGTACCACTGTATTGTGATCTCCCTGCCACGCCCCAAAAAGTGGGGCCTACCTTCATGAGGGGACGCAGGTGGCGCTGTGGGTTAAACCACAGAGCCTAGGACTTGCCTATCAGAAGGTCGGCAGTTCAAATCCCTGCGACGGGGTGAGCTCCCGTTGCTCGGTCCCAGCTCCTGCCAACCTAGCAGTTTGAAAGCACATCAAAGTGGAAGTAGATAAATAGGTACTGCTCCAGCGGGAAGGTAAATGGCGTTTCCGTGTGCTGCTCTGGTTCGCCAGAAGCGGCTTAGTCATGCTGGCCACATGACCCGGAAGCTGTCTGCAGACAAACACCGGCTCCCTCGGCCAACAAAGCGAGATGAGCGCTGCAACCCCAGAGTCGGTCACGACTAGACCTAATGGTCAGGGGTCCTTTACCTTACCTTCATGAGGTGCTCAGCAAAGGCTGGGCAATACAAGAACCACTTGGACAGATTCCCTCTCCCACCCACCTTTGTACATGGTAAAGTTCTGGTGCACAGAGAGCTACCATCAGACATCGAGCACAGGCTGTGCAGGTCTGGTCAAAAGAAGAGCCAGGAAAGTCTTGCCTTAGCTCAATGGTAGAGCATCCAGCTCTCATGCAGAAGGTCCCAAGTTCAATTCCTAACATATCCAGGCAAGACTGTAAAGAACTCCTGCATGGAATTCCAGAGAGCAACTGCCTGCCAGTGCAGACAATATAAATCTGGCTTTGACTCTGTATGTGGCAGTTTCCTGTGTCCCTCAGACAGGTGGCACAATCCCTTTCTCCCTGCCTCTTCCCTATAAACTGCAGCTGCACACATGGGAGGGACAATCAGTTCATTAGCCAGATAATAAAATTATTATTATTATTATTATTATTATTATTATTATTAGCTATTGCCAATCCACAGTGACCATGATCTGGGTCGCTGTAATGCATTCTAGACTGGCTAAGAATTATACAAGTTTTTATTTCACTTTATTTTTATTTTTGGGGTATTAAACTGTGTTTGACCCACCCTGGTAACACCATGCATATGGTAAGCTATAAATGCAAATAAATAAATATTGAGACCTTCTCTCTCTTCCCACACCTCAATACATCACCCCCAACTAGGAATGGAAATACTGTAACTGTCAATTTTCGTTTCCCTTGGTTTTGGTTTTTTAGTTCTGCACATCAGTTCATTTTGTTTTTCGTTTTGTTTTGTTTAAAAAGCCCTCATGAAAATCTATCCGGATTTAATGTGAATTTCTGCATAAAATTGTGCCCAATGTACAGATTCTTGCAAAGCAATTTTTCCCAGTGTGCACATTTTTTACATTATTATGTAAAGCATTTTTTATGTTTATTTCCATGAACATATGTGCATTTTATGCACACTCTTTATGTGTTTTTGTACTCATTGCTGGACTGGAGGTCTGCGGTGCATAACTTGAAGAGGTGAAGATTCTGAAGGGCGTCTGCATTTCAGTTTTCATATTGCTTTGCAAAGTGCTGATTAGGTAGGTCCAGCTTTAAACGTGAAGTCAATAAATGGTACGTGAGGCCGCTGGTTCCTATGCAAAGCCAAGGGATGCAAAAACTTCATCCTGCGCTGAAGAGCCAAGGCAGGTATGGGAAGATGCAGAGCTTGTTGCTTTAAAAAGCCGTCAGTCTTCTCAATACCCATTTTCCTAATGCACAGCCAGGGGATGCCCTCCAAGTTGGAGGTGGACGGCTGCAATATTTATTCCTGCTTGTTTCACATAATTGAGGGCTTGTTACCGACTGGCAACAACCAATTTCCAAGGATAGAATTGTCAAGGCAATTTCCCTCCACCATAGTTATAATGCAGGTGTACGGCAACAGAGATTTTTTAAAATAAAATAAAATACGGTGTATTTGAAAATGAGTCACGGCAAGAAGCAGTGCTCTTGGTTTTTAGAACAGTCCAAGCCACAGGCAACAGATGATGCAGAAATTCAGAAAAGTATTTTTAAAAAACTGGGTGCTGCAAACAAAGAATCTGGAGAGGGCTAATGTTTTAATTATGGTTGCATTTATTTCTACTCAGCACTTTTATTTCAAGACAAATAGAACTCACCATGCAGTGACTTACAGTAAGTCACCAGGTGAGTTGGAGCAGCCAGTGTGGTGTAGTGGTTAAGAGCGGTAGTCTCGTATTCTGGGGAACCGGGTTCGCGTCTCCGCTCCTCCACATGCAGCTGCTGGGTAACCTTGGGCCAGTCACACTTCTTTGAAGTCTCTCAGCCCCACTCACTTAACAGAGTGTTTGTTGTGGGGGAGGAAGGGAAAGGAGAATGTTAGCCGCTTTGAGACTCCTTAAAGGGAGTGAAAGGCGGGATATCAAATCCAAACTCTTCTTCTTCTTCTTCTTCTTCAGTGCCCCAGATTCTGGTCAGGTCAAATAAATGTACCCCCCTCTTCCCTCATTCTCTTAGATTCAGGCAGATGGCTAGGGTAGTTTGGAAGGGTCCTTGTGGAATGGTAGAGACCTGACTGGAAAGCTTAAAGCCCGTCACTGCTACATGGGAGATGGACTGAAGAAAATGAAATATGAATTGGACCCACCCCACAGCTTGAGCAATCACAACTAGGAGCTAGGTGCAGTCTAAAAAAAAAAGCATAGACTCTCCCATACAGGCCAGCTTCCATTTTGACTTGAAATGTTTGTTTGGGGCTTCTCAAAAGTACATAAAGACAAGAAGGAGACAGGAGGGTCACCGGTCCGAAATGGCACCCACCTGAGAGGTGCCACAACTGCGCTCCAGCTCACTCTGGTACTCTGAAAACAAAAGCCCTGTTTATATTGTGTAATCAGCATGCATAGACAAAATCAGTTCCTGTATTCACATAGGAACCTGCCTAATGGAAAAGACCACTACTTCATAGAATTATAGAATTGCAGAGTTGGATGCGTGGGATGTGAAACACAGAGCAGTCAAGTACAACATCCCTAGAGTGGACATAAAAAGGAGATGTCTGGACCAGCCAGTCGGAACTTCCTGTTTCCTCCTAGGCTGGGACAGACTTCCTCTACATGTGACCAGAGGTGGGCATGGCCTCACCTATGCAGGTAACAAAATACCTCAGCGGAGGCCACCATCTCTAGGAGTCTTGGTTGACCACAAACTTGACATGAGCCAACAGTGTGACGCGGCAGCTAAAAAAGCCAATGCAATTCTGGGCTGCATCAATAGGAGTATAGCATCTAGATCAAGGGAAGTAATAGTGCCACTGTATTCTGCTCTGGTCAGACCTCACCTGGATTACTGTGTCCAGTTCTGGGCACCACAGTTCAAGAAGGACACTGACAAACTGGAACGTGTCCAGAGGAGGGCGACCAAAATGGTCAAAGGCCTGGAAACGATGCCTTATGAGGAACGGCTAAGGGAGCTGGGCATGTTTAGCCTGGAGAAGAGGAGGTTAAGGGGTGATATGATAGCCATGTTCAAATATATAAAAGGATGTCACATAGAGGAGGGAGAAAGGTTGTTTTCTGCTGCTCCAGAGAAGCAGACACGGAGCAATGGATCCAAACTACAAGAAAGAAGATTCCACCTAAACATTAGGAAGAACTTCCTGACAGTAAGAGCTGTTCGACAGTGGAATTTGCTGCCAAGGAGTGTGGTGGAGTCCCCTTCTTTGGAGGTCTTTAAGCAGAGGCTTGACAACCATATGTCAGGAGTGCTCTGATGGTGTTTCCTGCTTGGCAGGGGGTTGGACTCGATGGCCCTTGTGGTCTCTTCCAACTCTATGATTCTATGATTCTATGATTCTATGATCTCTCTCTGTCTGACTACATTCATTGAAGAAGCAACATCTGCTTAGCCTAAGATGCTCTCTTGGCTTCCACCCAAGAGAGGACAAAGGAACAGTCGCCTTATGGGATAGTTTCCAGGTATATTACATTGTAACTTAAGTCTGCATTCTGGGATCCATCTGTGAACAGAATGCGAGTGAGTAAACACTTCTTATACTTTTATAGAAGCCTGTGTCGTGTGTACCTTTTTATGAGGGACTAAAGGAGAAATTACCAAGGAAACTTATTTTAGAGGCTTTAGCGAGCCTGAGCAAATGCATCCGCTGTACAAGTTTTAAAAGGGGAATGTCTCCACCCCCATCGTTCTGCCTGGACACTGAGGTCCAGCGCCGAGGGCCTTCTGGCGGTTCCCTCACTGCGAGAAGCCAACTTACAGGGAACCAGGCAGAGGGCCTGGCACCTTACAGTGGCACCTGCCCTGTGGAAGATGTCAAAGAGAAAACAACTACCAGGCTTTTAGAAGACATCTGAAGGCAGCCCTGTTTAGGGAAGCTTTTAATGTTTAATAGGTTATTGTATTTTAAAATTCTGTTGGAAGCCACCCAGAGTGGCTGGGGAAACCCAGCCAGATGGGCGGGGTATAAATAATAATAATAATTCTTTTACTCTGCTAAATTGTAGAACTTGCTAACGCAAGTTGGAAATGATATAACCAACAATATATCCCCTCCTGCATCCCTGAACATTCCCACAGGATGGAACCCAATGGATCATCTAGTCCAATCCCCTGCAATGCAGAGAATCTTTCATCCAGCTTTCATATTGAATGGAAGCGTCTCTCCAAGGTTTCAGGCAGGGGACAATCCCAGTCCTACCTGGAGATGCTAAGGATTTGACCTTGGACCTTCTGCACAGAAGACAGATGCTGCACCATTGATCTATGGCCCTTCCCTCAAGGGCTTTCATGAAACAATATAGGGAGAAGAAAATGTGAAGAAACATCGTTATGCGTACTAAAATTTCAGTTACAGCTGGGAAAGGTTAAGATGATAGCCTAGAGCAGGTGAACTCATAATGCCCTCCAGACATTGCTGGATTACAACTCCCATCATCCCTGACCATTGATCATAGGTACCGGGGACTGCTGGGAGTTGAAGTCCAAGAGCATTTGGAAGGCCACAGGTTCCCCACCCTCAATTTAGGATTAGATAGATACAGTGCTGGATTTACGGAGAAGCTAAACAAGCTATAGCTTAGGGCCCCACTCTCTTGGGTCCCCCCAAAAAATTTAAAGGAAAAAAAACCTGGATGTACATTTCCAAAATATAAGATAAAAAACAAATCAAATAAAACCTACATACAGCAACAGTGTTTTGTGTTGTGTAGGCTTCTATGATGTAAGTAATGGGCCCTACCTGCTAGCCAGCTCCCTAAAATATCACTGATTTGCTCATTTCTATATATAGGGTGCCTACATTCTGAATGGACTGGTTGAATGGCAACATGTGCAAATGGCTTTAGATACCTGTTAGGTCCATAAATTACCATATAGCATATATTCAACACAAAAAACAGTGACAATTTCTGGTTATTGACAAAGGACAGCTAGACTTATAAATGGCTCCATTACCTATAGTAGCTTAGGGCCTCATCAAACCTAATTCCGGCCCTGGATAGTTAGATAGATAGATAGATAGATAGATAGATAGATAGATAGATAGACAGACAGACAGACCTGCTTACCCCAATGTCTCTGGAGCCAGAAATGATGGTGTGTCATCACACATCATCATTTCCCAAAAGCAATTTAGGTTTCAATTTGTGGCGTGCAAGACAGCCAGCAGCAGTAGCAGCAGTTGAGCTGCTGGCTTGCTGATTCATTAAGAACCA